TCGGTGGGCGCCGCGGAGGGCGGGAGCGCGGCCCCGCGCAGTCCCCACCTCCCCGAGCCGCGGTCCCACTGCGCTGCCCACCTTGGCCCGGGAGCTGCGGAAGGGGACTGTCTCCGCCAACAACAAAAGAATGCATTTTCCTACACTGGGGGATGTGGCAGTCACCCGCAGGAGTTAGCGCAAGCCTCCTGATTGACGTGGGCCCTTTTCTTTGCAGACTCCAGGAGGCTAGGAATGGCACCCCCTCCTACTCTGAGTTCATCGCCAACTTTTGTGGGTTTTTTTTTTTTTTTTTTTTTAAATCGGCCGGATGTGTCTCCTAAGAGGGTGTGCGCTCTCCCTCCCCCAAAAACCCCAGCAGTGCCCACCGACCTCAGGACCCGCCCTGGGTGCCGACCAGGTGGGACCCAGCGCACGCGGCTTAAACAACTGTGCTGCCAGAGGCGCTTCTTCGGACAAGGCCTCTACCCCTCCCCCAAGGATGAAGACTCTTTCTTTTGCCCTGGATCGGTAAAGAAGATTCCAAACCCAGAGAAGGGCAAAAGAGCGTGGTTAAACTTTTACTTTTTCCACGAGATGAAACTCAACATAACATAAAGATAACCGTTTAAAAATTCAGTGGCATTTATTACACTTAAAACAGTCAGCAATGACCCCCTCCTAATTCTGAACGGTTCCATCAGAAGGAAACCCACACACAAATTAATCAGTCACTCCACTGCCTAGTCCTCTGAAAAACCATTAATGCATTTTCTTTCTCTATAGATTTACCTTTTCTGTATATTTCATATAAATGGAGTCGTTTTGGGCATTTTTTGTGTGTGGCATTGTGTGTGTGTGTGTGTGTGTGTGTGTGTGTGTGTGTGTGTGTGTGTGTGTATGTGCGCGCGCCTAAGCTTCCCAGGTTGGCCTCGAACTCACTCTAGCTCAGGCAGTCTTTGAACCTACAAACGTCCCGCCTAAGCCTCCTGGAGCAGGCCTGGTCTTGTCTGGCTAGGTCAAAGAATCCAGACAAGGTTATTCCAGGTTGTAGCATGCATCACACACTTCATTGCTTTTTATGGCTACATAGGATGGCATTGCATGTATAAATTATGGTTTGCTTTTCTGTTCTTACATCTGTTGGTGGATGTAAGGGTTACTTCCACCCTTTGGCTAACATGAACTGGTTCTCTGAACATACCTAAATATGTTGTCTAAATAACCTGTTTCTAATTCTTTGGGATACATACTTGGGAGTAGAATTTATGGGCCTTATATGGTAATATAGTCAGTCATATGTGTAACTTTTTTGACACTTTTTGAGACAGGGTCTTCTGTTAGCCCAGGCTGGCCTCAAACTTGTAGCAGAGGATGAGCTTGAACTTCAGATCCTCCTGCCTCCACCTCTGGAATGCTGGGATTACAGGTGTGAGTCACACATCCAGTCACCCACAATCTTTAAACAGGTGATCATCCAGGGTTTTGACTGCAGAAAAAAAATAGAGAGACACCCAAACATATTCCCTGGTGTGGGGGCAGAAGCACCTATAGAATACTCTAGACTAAGAATTATAGCTGCTTTTTGTTCCTTATTTTAGTGATGATTTGTGTGGTGTCCCAGGAGCTTTGAAATTGCCCAGAGAGCCAGGGAACAGACTTGATGGTGGGGTGAGGGGGTGGGGAGGGTAGGGAGGGAGTGGGGGGGGTGTTGCATTCTATTGGAAACAAACTTTATGACACACCATTCCAGAAGCCAAAGCTACTCACCATTTGCACGTAAGCCTTCCATGTAATTCTGTGCTAGAAGTCCTTAAAGATAGTATTCTTAAATGAGGACGCAAAGGACAACTGCTGGGCTATGAAATGAGAAGATCAATTCAGATCAGAAAGTTTGAATGATAGGCAATAAAGTGTGGGTAAAGCAGGAGGTGTATGTAGCAAGGGGGCCTGGCCTGTACTACTTATTTCCACATGGAGTATTTTATCTACCTTGAATCTGTTTTCTCATTGCTTAAGAGAGAGCTAACGCTGCCTACCTGATAGGGTAGGTAAAAGCTTCCAGCCTTGCTTGGCGTGGTGGCACACACCTTTAATCCCAGCACTCCGGCACAAAAGCAGGTGGATTTCTGAGTTTGAGGCCAGCCTGGTCTACAAAGCAAGTTCCAGAACAGTCAGAGCAACACAAAGAAACCCTGTCTCGATAAAAACAAACAGAAAACAACAACTTCCAGCCTCAACCTCAATAAATGACCAGAGCTTTTGATTTAAAATGCTGAAGATTGGCATGCGCCCCATGAAGACAAGCTGCTATGAACACAGTTGACCATGTGTTTCTCCTCAAATCAAGAAAGCAGGCTAACTTTAAAACGATTAAGGCCAGGGTAACAAGTCAGATCCCTAACACAATTTCTGCATCTCGTCTTACTCTGTTTTCCTGACTCAGGAAGGCAAATTACCCTGGTCAGGTTTTTTAACATGGCTCAATCTTATCTGTCAAGTGGAGTAACACCTACTTAATAGGATTTGATGAGACGGTGCATACAGAGGGCTTAGCTCAGTGCTGGCAAATAAAAATACTATTACATGTATTGATAACAAAGCTATTATAAATTCTCCAAGGAAAGTATTAGCAGAAGAGCAAGATCAACAGAAAGGTGAGTAAATCAAGCTAAAGGGGAAAACCGGTCCATTGGACAATTGCCTTAAGACAGCCCGGTCCATTCCCACGATGGGTATGAGCACTGCACTGTACTCCGACAGTTTGTTGAGAATAGCTTTAAGCACAGCTTTTTTGCTCTGGCTCAGGCTTACCGAGCAGTCTTGACAGAGCAGCCGGTTCCCACAAAAGCTCTCTGAAGGAAAGAATATGAACTGGGCATCTAACCTGAATGCTGCAGCATTCTGAAAAATCACAATGTTCTTTGCAAATTGGCATTTCATTTATCTCTCTGTTACTATTTTGCATGGACAATGTCCCTGAAATCTAACTGAGAATGGATATTAGAAAGTACCTTAAACTGCCTTTTCTAGCAAGTAACAGAGTCTCATCCAAACTTGCCAAAGGAGGATGTTTATTTAATTTGAGGCGAACTGGAACTGCAAAACCAGCCTGAGCAGGACGTGCAGTTAATTAAAAGCCACTAGGGACTGATCTCCATCTATTTCGCTTCAGGCTACCAATCCTTCCTTCTCTCTCTCTTTGTTTGACAGTCTTGCTATGTAGTCCAGACTGGCTTCCAACTCTCCTGCCTCGGCCTCCAGTATGGCGAGATTACAGGAGGTCACCGTGACAACCGTTTCTCACTGTGGCTTTCCATGTCTCTCTCTGCCCTTCTTTCTTTAGTTTCTGTGTCTTCTCTTCCTTTCTCATGTAGATGAGCTCCAATTCTCCTCCGACTCCCAGCCTGCTTCCTCTGCTTGACTATCTTGCACTCAGCCATAACGGACATCACTACCACCATCACGCCAGCCTATGGTGAGTGTGGAAATGTCCTCTCCCTGGGTTCCTGTTTACCCAGACAAAAGGCAAACAAACAAGCTGAGCCCACTGCTTCAAGCAAGCACACGCTAACAACATACGTGCTGACTGCTTTTGGATTAGAAATCCACTTCTGATAATAGGTGGTTCTGGCATAGAGGATGGGGACACCAGTTGAGAAATAGCCACCCAAAACAAAGGGGCTACACGTGGAAGAATTCACCAAAAGTTAGCACAGGAAGAGAGATACTCTGAAATCCTTGCATTAATAGAACTGTATTGTTGGAACAGCAACAAAGAAAATTTGGGATAGAGTCACATGGCATGGAGATACATATAAGTGTAACCCCACCTTCTTTTTTTAAAAAAAGTTGTCTTTTTGTAACAAAGACCATCACAGAAAACCACAGCTGGTTAAAAGGTCAAGAACAAGGCATGATGGGGTACAGTGATCCAGCCCCAGTGGATACATCTATAACACAGCTGCACCCGAGGCTCAGGAAATATGATGCACGAGGGAGCAGAGAGAGTGTGAGAATCAGAGGACCCGGAAATGACAGGGAACCTCCACCCATGGTGCCTCAGTAAATACAGCAAATAAGACCTGAACAAGGACAACACCAATACACTTGCCAATGAAGAAAGGAGAAATCCCAGGGGACCCCACTCCTAGACAAAGAACTATAGGAAACTCAGGTATGCTGAGATTGGAAGAATTAGTTCTTTCCAAGGATGACCACCCCCAACTGGTTATCCAATATCAAGTGGTCAGCCTGAGATCGTACGTAGAAGCAACACTAAGTGGATATATCAGGTTGTTTTTTAATATTTATACACACACACTCACACACAACAATTAAAGAAAATGAGACCATGAATTTGAGAGGAAAAGAAATGGGAATATGGGAAAAAATTAGAGGGAAGGGAAGGAGGGAGATGACAATTATATTTTGAGTTAAAACATACATTTTAAATTAGAGTGAGTACTGTAGAAGATACACCAAGTACTGTTGGTGATATACTCTCTGGTGGTAGAGATAGTCTAGGAGATGTAGTTCAAATGCTAAAATATTAGAAAATCTGAAGTTATTCATGGATATTGACAATAATGAAGAAAAATTTCTGAAACTCAAATATTCCTGGAAAATCTTATTGACTACAATGTATCATAGTATAAAGCAGAATACCCTCATCATGAAAATGTAACAACATTGAATGATTTTTATATATGTAAACCAATTAAAAGTTTGTACATACTGGGACTGGAAGGATGACTCAGCAATTAAAAGCACTGGCTGCTCCTCCAGAGGTCATGAGTTCAATTCCCAGCACCCACATGGTAGCTCACAACCATCTATAATGAGTCTGATGCCCTCTTCTGGCATGCAGGCATACATGCAGATAGAGCACTCATACATAGAATACATACATAAATAAAAAAAATGTTTAAAGTTTCTACATAAATATTAGCTATGGAGGATAAGATAGTTGTTGATCTGTTGCAAGTACTTACGTATGCTGAACATTTGCATTGTATTCAAAGGCTGTAGGGATGGATAAGATAATCAAGAAGGTCCTGCAGAACAGTGATTCTCAAGAGATGACTAGATCAGCTTTCTTACCTCCTATTTGTTGAAAAGAAAGATTAAATTCATAAGTCTGACCCAAACAGAACCTTGGAGGCTGGGCACCACAAACCTTCCAGGTAGGTTATTTTGCATACTACATTTGAGAGCTAGCTGAATTAGGAGTAGCTGGCATATATCAACCAAAATACCAAAGACATTTTTATGGACTTGGGCTAGATGATCCTA